ACTCTGTTCTATGTGGTGCATGCATGCATGCACATTGTATGTCTGCTTGGTTTTGTAATGTGCGTCCTGTCTAGTCGGGCAAGATCAGTCGACCTCCACGTGGTGCCCGACGGAAACAGCACGCTATGCGCTGGCTAACTGACTGATCGTGACACAACATACAACGCGAAAGGCTATGTGTATGTAGCTAACTCTAATTATAGCGCACTTCCCAGAAGACAAAGCGGGACTACCCACCCTGAACACAAACTGGGGCTCACAGAAAACAGAATGCAATCTCAGGGACCCTTCAAAACGAAGGCATCTACAAATTCAGACACTACTTCGAAATTCAGACAGTTTGTTAGAAAGTAATATGCTACCTGCGTATTACAATGACATACCTTGACCACTGGCTTTCCTGAACTCCAAGGAGGGTTAAAAACTTCATATGAACTCTCTGTTGCGCCGAAAAACACACACACGAGCGTCTTCTCCATCCCCAGAGTCTTCGTCAACCCTTGCGTATAGCGCGAAATCCACGCGGAGGTGTGGCGACGCGCTGTTGCGCATTGCGCGAAAAACGCATGCGCGTGAATACGCAGCGTAAAAATTATATTCGGACCCAAAGAGAACAACGAAGATGGCAAATTCTCGTGCCTTCGTTGTTCTGCAGCCCAGACCCGCCTTGGTTACTTTCCAGCCTCCCACACGGGCTTTAGAACCACGAAGACACTCGAATTTGCCGTCTTACCTATACCAATACATTGTACAATTCTCATTAATTCGCAAGAAAAAGTAGTTTATTCACGCTTAGAATTTGCTAACACATTAATACATAAAAAGATCACGTGTTTAGGTACCTGTTGAATCACAGAATGGAGTAGTGTTCAGGTTCAATTGTAGAGATGGTCAAGGATAGTATATATATTGGCCACACCAAGAGATCACTGACAGTATATACGTCTCAAAGAGCTTCTGAGGGCGACGATCAAGTGTAGAGAACGGACCCAGCGCGCGCAACGACTTCCGGAAGCCGCACAAGTGACCGCGCCCCCACGTCCAAGTCACGTGCCATAGGCCACGCCCACCAAACCATTGCTCACGCAAGAAATTACGGGGAGGGGCTGCTAACTCAAACTCTTGCAAATCCACAGGCGATTTTTCGAAAAACGTCCAATGGGAAGCCTAGCGGCACCAGAATAGACACTTTGCGGCGTGTTTGCAGCATCCTCTCCATTTCACGAGCTCGGCTGATCAGCTGATCGCTTGGTTCTAGACCAAGGGCCTGACTGATTGAACTGGCCATTTTGCCACAGCATGTTCATGGCCTGTTGTTTCGAGGAATCAGGCCAATCTAAGGTGCTTGGTGCTTGCAGGCCATTCTAAGGTCCTGGGCTTTTCCAATCGAAGTTCAACGCAGCTAGCCAGTGTTTTCGTTTTGGTGTCTGCAGGTATCGACTTTATCGCAACAGTTTACAGAACGTTGATATAGCTAATCAGTACTTCCTCTCCGCAGTATATACAATGATAGTGCATTGCACCGCCAAGCGGCCTTTTGTTTCGTCTGTCGGCGCACGCGGAAGCTGAATTCGTGGTCAAATAATAATGTGACTGTCTCGACTTGTGGGAAATTATGGACGTATATACATACAGTAGTGTATCCTGTTTTTATTGCCGATCGAAGCGCCGCCGTGTGGTGCAAAGGGCAAAGTTTTTGTTACACTTCGACGAGAATTATGGAGCTATTTGGGGCTTTACTTTTGTGTTCTGCTATATATTATACAGCTGAAGCTAGTTTACATTACGGCCTGCTACTCTAGTCCGAACTGTTCTGCTAAAGCCGAAAGCCGTAGGGACGTCGAGACCAGCGAAGAATACTATCGGGAAACCAACGCTCTCTTTTGCCAAATGAGTTATCTCACAGCTCTGAAGGAAGGAATACAACAAAGCAGCTGTAAGGTAAACGTGGGAGATGACATCCACTTTGAAAAAACCTCGCCACCCTGCAAATTTCCAGAAGGCGAACGACACGATGTGCGCTACAACTGAGTGTGGTATAACAAATTCGCCCTATTTCTACTGCGGGTTCGACAAGGGAGATTTTTGTGTCAAAGTCTTTGCTCGAGCAATGTTCTTCTACTCGCTCTGACGGACACAAAATAGTGTGCAGCCAGAGTTGCAAAATGGCTGTGGAGACCAACGTCGCGGAGTGTGGCTGTTTCGTGGACTACTGGATAAGCTACGACGAAAACGGCGGAACAGCAGTATCGGATATATAGTCAGTAGTGGAGAAGAAAAAGAAACTATAATGAACCGACTGTAAGAGAGGAGAATGAAAGAAGCAAAGGTGTGAATGAGGGAGCGGCGTATATTGCAGTGCCGTTAAAACGGGCCAAAAGGATATGAAATGGACGAAAGACGAATAAAATGCATCCGAGCCCCCTCTCATACAGCCAAATAAAGAGGGACACAGTGATAGTGGGTAGGCAGCTTCTAGGTATGTCAAGGAAATGGCTTCTATATAGAGTACTTAAGTTTGGACTGACACATATTTCTTCCTTAAAAAACTGCAGATTCCAGATGTCATAAAGAAATGTGTACACTTTAACTACGTAGCTGGCTGCATGTGGCCTAGGTATTGCACCACCACCGTTCAGTGTAAAGACGTTTGGTATAACCTGGGCAAAGAAGATGAATGTATTAGCCGGTGCAGAAGTGACGCGGATGTCTAGTACTACCACCACAAGAAAGAGCAGAGTCAGGGGAAGAAACTGGGAGAGTAGATATAGAGCCCACATGTAGTCAGCATCACAACGTACACACTCCAGAGTGTGAATGGAAGGACCATAACCATGAACACACTCTCCACACAGAACACCTTTCCTGTTAACCTTTCCACATATCAAGCTGTCAATTTCCTTTGCGTTTCTTGGAAGTTGGATGTATGAGTCATTTGAGCCTGAATGAAAATAGGGGGTACTACCAGCAACAGCAATTTGCACATTGTTGTGAGTGTATAAACCTAACCAACTGCCCCGTTGTATCTTAGTGTAGAAACCGGTCGCATTGCATTCGACGAATCCCTCAAAATAACCACCACATTTACAAGAGGCTGAGCGATCAACTTGCACCAAAACCATTCCTGGAGGACAAGGTAGAACAGTGACATTCAACATGACTTGAACAACTTGTGGGTCAACTGACTCCAACAAAACCTTTCCATTTACTTCTTTATTAATGTCTGTAGTATTTTTCCTATGAATCTGAATGTGATCATTAGAAATGTACTGGCTACTGATATCGACATCTAGGCCTGTCAAGAGTGACTTAGCCAGAAAAACACTGGAGCTTGTCACATCATTTCCGCGGTCATCCCACATCGTCACACCTAATTCATGTTGCTGTCCTGGAAATGTATCAATCTTGAAGTTTGAACTTGACTCAAACTGTGCTGGGGAAGTCCTAACTTCACTGGTACAGTTGTTGCCATTGTAATTCCACACATTAGGGCAACAGAATACCCCTGAGAGTTCGTATGATGAATTTCCAAAGGCAAACTCCCCACTGGCATACTAGGACAGACGACGCAAAAATAGACTCATTGCGGCCATTGGCAGTGTTGCCGGAGAAGAAAAAGGACACATTCCACTTGTTGGGAGCGACTGTGATGTCACTGTATCTGACAAAACAGTTCTTAGCGTTTATAAGATCGTGCTCTCCAATGGAAATCTCATAGATCGCTCCACCAGCAATAACAGCAGAGTTGTTGACAAACACAAGTCTGGAGGACGGATAAGTCAGAATAAACGCAGCACCCAGTAAAGATATTGCACCACCATGACGACCCTTGTTGTCTCTGAAACTTATTAATGAGCTGGTTGTGATATAGACTCCAGTAGTTATTGCAGCAAGTGCAGAATGGGTATTCTCCAAAAATTATTCTCACCCATAAAATAAGTAGGAACTGAGTCAATATAGAGTGCCCCAATTCCAACTACCCTGCTTTGCTCTGCTGTGTATGAACCGCTGTTCTCTAAAAAGAGCAGTTTGTAAAATTAACTCTAGCACTGGCTCCAACCGGAACAGAGTGCCATACTGATAGATCGGCTCCAGAACCAGCTCTGGCTACATTCTTACACCATGTGGTGTTCAGGAAAGCAAGTGAATTAGTAGGACTACTCTCAGTAGGCTCTCTTGCTGCATAGAATGATAGTCCAGCCACCAAAGTTAGCAGAGTTGCCAGATAGCCTGCAGTTTTTAAAAGACACAGAATTTGATTGAACGTGTGTGTCATTGAAGAAGATGTATCCAATTCTGGCACCACCACCACCTGTCCCCTGGCTACTACTCTCTTTGAACAAGCATTTATTTCCTGAAAATGTCGAGTTGTTAATAGAGACACTATTGTTACTACTCCAATCCTGCATCTCAACAAAGAGCCCGGCTCCCCATAAGGCTGTATTGTTTGCAAAATCGCAACTTGCTATATTATTAAGAGAGATGTCTGTTGCTAATCCTTTAAAGAATATTGATAACCCACCACATCAGCCAAATGCCATGTTGTTTGACTTCTGCGGTATGAACTGGTGCGTATCTTGTGCACTTGCAAAGTTATCAGAGAAGTGGCAGTCCGATACGGTGTAGGTTGAGTCTCTTGTGTAATCATCAGGAATATTAGCGGGGCCATTGAAGCAAGAGGTGTTGCCAGGATAGCAATAGGCAAATTCAATGTACACACCACCACCTCCACTGATAGTCTCTGAGTCATTCAACGTAAGGGGTTTGTTCGAGGTAAAGTTGGAGTTTGTGATTGTGTTGACGCCAACTGCGCTGTACATAACCACACCAGTTCCTTCCAGTCTCCTGTACTGTGACATTGGAGATGGTAACTGTACGACAGAGAAGGAAATAGAGAGCACTTGTGACCTCCTGAAAGTAAGGGTCACTTTGCTTGTGCTGTTGTTAGGAAAGCCACAGGCAGTAAACACCAAATTCTCTAGTTTTATTCCGTCAGATTTGATAAAGGAGAGCCCAGCACCTTTCTCACAGTCAATCTTCACACAGGGTCCAGCAGTGTAGCAATTCCCAGTGATAGTGAAACCTCCAGTTCTCTCTTCTATCACAGTCAGCCGTGAGTCATTGGTCAAGGTGTACTCCCCTTCACTGACAATCAGAGACACTGGTGTTGTCAGGGAGATGTTCTGGACACACTCCAGAGCAAGAGTGAGGGTTTTGCTAGGAATTGCAGCACTCCCTGAGCTACTGGAACAACAACTGGTGTTAGATATGCCATATTGTCTATCAACATAGATATCAGTTGCAGCCACCATCCGGAAGCTAACAACAACGGACAAGAGCATCTTCCATAAGTGTTCATGCCACATTGTAGCTGACTGCACAAGGCTTTAACTGTTCACCTTCTCCTTTAGTATCTGCACCAGCGAGGACGGAATCACGTGAGTAAAGTGTAAAGTGATGCGGTATTATGCAAGTGTATAACAGGTTAATACCTCGGCAGAATCTCCAAGCGCTGTTCAACGCCCGACAAAAGTAGGCGCTTGATCAATGAAAGGAAGCTGCTTGCCTTCCATCAATCTGACGCCCGTTTCTCTCCAACTGTGGCCAGAGGCTCTACAGCCCGAGCTCTCTCGTGCGCCATGGCGCGCCAAAGTGATATCTACAAAGACTGTGTTTTTTGCGACCTAGCCTAAGATTCTCTTGCATTTCTACCAGGCGGACCACTTGCAATACGTCAGTCGTGCACCACCCTTATCTATAACGTTCACTTTTGCCGGAAGAAGCGATTGCGAGAGCACCTCAGAACTTGCTTTTAAGGCGCACACTAACCAGCGCCAAGAGCTAGAAAGCGTGGCATCGAGAGTGTGGTACGTTGTACACAAGTGTTAGTTGTTGCACGCACTGCCGCTACACTATTGTTCTATGTAGCGCGAAATTTGAACTGTTCGCTCGCCAATAATGCACCTCTATAATCATAGTATTATCATAGCTCCGTGTATGTTTTTGCATTTAGCTGGGACTCACCAAGTTTAATTAAGAAGGATATCCCACCGGGATGAGTCTGGTTACCCCAAGAGCTGTTCCAATCAGCTTACACTCCACAAAACTGATTATTATTGCTTGACCACACTGTTGATACTTCAAAAGGCTCAGCTATGTCCCTTGGGGGTGGTTTTAATTATTTTGGTTACGGTGGGTGATGAACCTTAAGAAACGTGGCACTTTCATGACCTTTGAGAGAGACCTAAATCGAGAAAGGCATGCTGTATGCCTGTGCTTTTTAAAATTAACGGGAAGGTTCCGTCTATATATTATATCAAATCGGTGGAATATTGTTTTTAACTAGAAGAGCCTGTGGCAATGGCTATGGAGTGCAGCCTCTCTTTGTTGCATAATTTTGAATAACCGGTCCTTAATAGTGTCACAATAATAAGTAGCGAGCATATCTATTGTGTAGCTACTTCTTACGACTGCAGTTGTTACTGCCCATGAACCTACAAAGTGATGATGTAGCTACTATTGGAACATACTGCTCAGGGGATTTGAGCTCAAGTGCAAGTGGAAATAGTGAACCGCAAAAATTGCGCATTCTATGATATCGTCTTAAAATATTAATGCCACACCACAAGACACAGGATTATAATAACACACAGTATCACTGAAGCGTGTTAATATATTACTAATGTGCAGAAACTGAGTTATTGCGAGAGGTACTCATGCTCTATGTTGTCGGCCAAGGCATTCAATTTACAGTCACGAAGAGTTGTGCAGAGTGTCTTCCAGGTTGCTGGCTCCCCTTTCGCTGCCAACCACTCCATCAGAATTTTCCGAGTGATACGGTGGGTCTGTCTGCAGTCGTGTTCAATGGCATCAATCAGACAGCCAGTGTCATCCTTGAGTAAGAATGTCCCCAGCGATAAGTAGTTTGTTCCAATAGCCTCCACAACATCGAGTTTGAGTAACTTTGGAAGAGAAGGTTTCTCCGTCTCAGTGACTGGAGTGACAAGCCACAGTAGGTGATGCTTACTGGCTGGTCCAATAGTCTGTTGGGTGAGGGAGCACTTGATGCGCCACTTGCAGTTGAAGAAGAAAGGGGATGCAGCGTGAGCGTGTGGCCTTCTATCACAAGGACAGAAGAAGGCTGGGGTTGCCTCGATTCCGGCGAGATGCAGACGCTTAAAGACCTCTTCGATGGCTGTGAAGATTGTTTCTTTAATTTGGAAGCAGATCTTGGCGATGTCATCTCCGTCTAGACTTTTCCCTGGCCTTATGTGGACCTGGATGCTGTGGCCAGTGTCAACCAGAACAATCTGCCCTGGTGAGTGAGGCTTGTACAGAGAGACGACGTTGTGAGCCAAGCACTGAGGGGAGCCATCGTCAGCTCTGCTCAACTTCCAGTTATACACAGCCATGAGGCAGGAGATGGTCCTGGAGAAGCAGCTGAGGGGGACACAGTTGCTGGTGAACTGGACCACCAGTGGAGCTACCTCAGAGGGTGGGGGGAGGTGTTTCGAGATATCGTTATAGGGAATGGCTGATCGGAGACACATCATCAGATGCTGTCTCTCCTCTCTCCTGATGGAGGGGATTGGCTGACTGGTGGCTGGAACATGGCTGGTGTCTGATGTTGGCTGGATCTCGCGACTCAACGGAGCCAATGTGAATGTATGGGAGAGGAGCTCGATGGCATGTTGTGGCTCATAGAGGTCAGAGATAAAGCACTGTGTGAGCTCCTTGTGGCTGAGTATTTCCTCTGTGATTATGCCATCTTTAAGAGAGGACACCATATCCTCTGCTATGCACCTCACTTCCCCACGCCCTACGTTAATGTAGCTTAACTTTACCACGGCATCAATGCAGTGAAGCGGTGTTTGTGGCCTGGTGAAGATGAGGTTGGGGAGGATGCAGGGGAAGTAGAGAAGCGTAAACTGGCGATCGAAGAAGATTGAGGCAGCCTCCACTTCATCTGGTTTCATCTTCAGACTTTCTCCGATCACTCTGCACTCGCTGAGGCCTCTAGGGTCCGTGTTCTTGGCAAACTCCACCAGTTCTTGTTCTAACAGCAGAAAGGAACCTGGTGTCTTGACCACCTCTCCAACTTCACTCTTACTGACCTCAGTGCAGATGAGGTCCATGTCATCACCGTCAGGATCCTTAAAATTTAAGACAAATGGAATCTGATTGGCTAAATATCTGATGAGCTCTTTCTTGCTCGACGGCAGCAAAATAGCTGTGAGGGCCTGGTCAAAGGCCTCGACCCTAGCTGACAGCTCGCCTTGTGTCTCTGTGTGTTGCCACTACAAGTAGTAGGAAATGACCCTTATTATTCTCTGAGAATCTCTTGGCTTGCATGGTGGATGCCAGCTCCTGTATAATCTTCCTGTTGGTGTACTGCCAGGAGGGCGATTCTCTCTCGTAGGCCTTTCCCTCCTCATGGTAGTCAATGGAGGGATAGTTATCGAGGCCAAACACGAAATTCAGGACTAGTATAGCAAGGTGACAGTGGTGGATCAGACTTGGTACATTCTCCAGTAGCTCCGGCTGACCTCCGGTGTCAATCAGTGGACTAGCTCCAGCATTTCCAGGATCTCGGAGCTCTTTGAGGACTTTACCAGCCGCACCATTTACTGCATCGTAGAAATCTTAGGATGTGCAGACGACGCTAGGAAAGTGCTTGATGAGGCATTCCGTGTACCTGGAGAAGCGGTAGCTGGTGTGGTGGTAGAAGAACTAGGAGAAGTAGTGGAAAGAGAAGGAGGGGCTGAGGCTGTGGCAACAGAAGCACAAGGCTCTAGCCTACGTGGCAGTAGCTGGAAGATACAGGCTAGGAGCTGGGAGTTGAACGACACGTTGGCCATGTGGTGGGGGAGGCATCGAAGCGACTGTTCCGCCACACCAGTACTGGTGTAGAATTATGGAGGGAGTTGGTTGAAGAGACGGCTGAGGAGCCACGTCTTCCCGGAGCCCATGAGACCAGTGATGACGGCCACGAGGTTCCTCATGTCCAGACTGCAGGACTCCAGAGCCTTGTCTATTATCTCCTGGGCTCTCTCGTCACTCAGAGGAGCTGAAACAAAATAATACATAAAATGCGAGTAATGTGCACATAAAAATATGCAGCTATATACTGACAAATTTATTCCTCTTGAGCTTATTTTTACACTGTAGCTATTTCCAAGTTCATAACCCAGGGGAGGATGGACACAATTTACATAACGTAATCCAATACGCACAGTTAATTGCATTCCTGAGTGCATGTACAGAGAAATATGTAGTGACGAAGAAGACACTGAGTTTACTCTCTACCCTGCAACAAACAGGAAGGGTAGCTATATTCAGGCTATAAGGTCATCTTTTCCCAACACTTGCCTTTTCGTCGCAATGATATGGTTTGTAAAGCTAACACTGGGGGAAAGACACTATGTTGCACGTCTGTAAGGGTGCTTGCCTACACTGAAGGTATGTTTACCCGGTAGAGTAGTGGATAAACTATGGGCACGATTCACATTATGTAATGCTGCTTATACGGAGATGATTGGATGACATTGGCATTACTCAGCGAAGGCATTGGTCATTAATTTAAAGGCACTTCGTTAGTACATTCAGCAGTCATCTTCACCCAACCCCTACGTCTAGTTTCTCTATTCGCCTTCGACATATTTACTGTATCACCATCATCAGAACTATGCAGGTATGTACACACTCAGATCATGTGACTGTCACATGAATCCCCATTTGGCTCTCCCATTTATTGCACACCTCTATTACTACCCCCAAGTTTGCAGAAGAAATTACTCTATTTCCACCCTAATTTTAAAGGTACGACACCTCTTAATAAGTGTACAAGTGAAAGAAGGCGCTTGTGTCTCTCCTACTGGAAATGCAAGGAAAAACATAACGTTACGAATGTTTATTTGCTCCCTGATTACAACGCACTGACGTGTACTCAGAGTTATGGCTGTACAGAACAGAATGATTGGCTCGTACAACAAAACACAGACGAAACATACAGATGGCTTGCATGTGTGAATTACTACGAGGGTGAATGGCAAAGGGCACAACTAACAAGTCAACTACAACACCGTTATCCCACTCAACGTTCAGTAGCTCGGGTTTGATCTTGGAACAGTTGGCATACACATTCACTAGTCCCCACAATAGCTGGTCCACTGGGAGACCAGACGCTGCCTTCATGATGTGCCGTCCATCCAGGTAGACGTGAAGGTCTCCGTCAGGGGACAGTAGAAGCCCGACCTTCTGGTTTATGTTGAGACGCATGAGATCAGGAAGACCTGCAACCAATTCCTTCCTGTTGTGATACAGTGATGATTCTACGTATCCCCAGTCATGTGGTCCAATTCAAAGCTCGGATATACTATACTTCAGCCTATCAGGTATACCGGCAGTCACTCAAACAACCTGTTAGAAAAGGAACATACGTGGATTTTATCCCTCTCAGTCACAAAATGCTGTAAATTTACACACAGAAATGGCAGAAAAACACATTTTGTGAACTTTGACCCAGTAGGCGGGTGGCATGGCGGCATATCTCGTAAAAACCACCCATTATTAAACATCTCCTTGAGAACGTCCGGATTGAGTGAGATATATTATCATAAATTATACCCAGCAGATATAATGTAGAACGGCAGGGAGAAGGTTGGCCATAGTACATGTGCCTGCCATCAAAAAGTGTGTCGACTTCGGGCAGAATCACACATGTATGCAGGGGGGGGGGCACAAACGCTTACTTCATGACTGAAAGAGAGTTATAAACAAGAGTCGAGCACATGAGTCGAGCACATGACTACGTGGGAGAAGGGCTGTGGTGCAATACCCTCAAGTGAAGCCCATAACCATATTTGCAGAGAGTGCCATGTGGTGCTTTAAACTGTGAATAGTGAAACATTTCAATCTCCCACTTACAGGCTTCTTGGAATGTTGACAGTGTTAGAATTGTGGTACTACAGGTGTTCAACCCTTTTCCTGCTTTACAGTTTTAACACAGTTGTATACAATTATGACAATAGACATGAGAGGAAATGCTCAATGACGCTCTATAGTAGAGGTATAGTGGACAGATGCAGCTACACTACATTTCGCTCACCAGTCCACCACTGCAATCCCATCTCTTGTTCTTCTCCAGGATTGTGGTCTGTCAAAGCTGCCCCAAGGGCAAGGAATGAGACGTGTAGCAGAGGCAATCCTTGTGCGCAAGGTTGGGGTTTTCTTCGTATTATCGTCGTTGGACGATGGAGTTACCACTTGAAAACACTGCTCTCCCCCGCACTTTTTATCGTCTAAAGTAGCAGGAGTTGCGATCCAGTCAAAGACATCCACTGCCGCCGACATCATTGCGGGAGGGTGCGATAGACGTCGGCCTCGGAACGGGCAACTTCGCTGAAATCGCCCACGCACAATTATTCCGCGCATGCTCGCGCGTAGGCTAGGCCGAACGTGGAACAAGGCCTGGATTCCGAGGCTAGCATGTGATGCGACTGACGGACGGGCACTTTAATATTGCATGCGTTCACAACATTTTGAAACACCCTATGCCTAGGTGTGGGTATGTTGTCGTTCCCCTCCTTGTTTCATGAGGTTCAATGGTTTCTTTCCTACACAAGTTAGGAAAAATTTTGCTATATACTATGCTATTGAAAAAATAAGCTGTGCGCCGGCTCTCCGTTACGAATGTTCAACTGTGACTGACAAAACCCAGCTCCCGGACAAAATAATCAAAATCATGCTATTTCGTGCACACTACACAGGTAAGTTCCTTCTCGGGATCATAGGGTGGACACCGAATCCCGTTGCACACAGCTTCCACATGGAAGAAGAGGGCGCCGTTAGAGTTCCTTGCTTCACCGTTTAGGAACTCCGGATTTCTATCGAGGCATTTCGCGGATTGTCGGCCCCCGCTACCCCCGTAGCCGGACACAAGATATCCGTCATACTCCTCTGTCCACGTCGTAGGGCACGAGCGGCGAGCGGGGATCATGATTGAGCTGGCCCTTGAGGTAGCGTGACAGACGGCGCACGGGACATTTTGGTCACGAGCTTCGTCTAGAGGCGAGCCGTCGAACGTCTCGTACTCGACCCCATGCAGCGTAGAGTAGCGTTGTGCTCCTGACTGGAATTCTTCCTCGTACTCGGGTTCCTCGGGTAAACAAAGAATATCGCTAGTTCCCCCGGAGCTGCTCCAATGACTACCAACAGCTCTGCCAGCGTAAACAAGTTCGGTTCCTGCGATGGAGGGACACGTCGAGTTTCCCCATCTGACGTAAGTTGCTCCTCCGCCTCCCCCAATCCCTCGTAATCCTTGAGGTCCCGCAGGTCCAGGAAACCCAGGCGTGCCTCGCTCACCGGGTAGGCCTGGACGACCTGCAGGTCCGTCCCTCCCTGGTAATCCCGGAGCCCCCTGTGGCCCTTCATCTCCTGGGAATCCGGCTGGTCCTGGTGCACCGGGCGCGCCCTGAGGGCCCGCAACGACGATGGATCCATTGGGAAGTTGAACTGGTTGTGCTCCGGGGGGTCCAGGCGGTCCAGAAGGTCCAACCGGACCTCGATCACCCGGTACTCCGCGGTCTCCCGGTGCCCCTGTGGGCCCCGTTAGGCCAGGTTCTCCAGCCGCTCCTTTTTCCCCAGGAGGTCCTGCAGGTCCGGAAGGCCCAGGTTGGCCTTGAGCACCGGGGAGACCGACTGGGCCAGGAGGTCCCGGTGGTGCCTGCCGCTTTCCAACACGGTCTACATGCAGTGATGCAGCTTCCACTAGTAGTACAGTACTAGTAATAGCGAACACAGCGACGAGAAGTAGCAACTTGACCATTTTCAAGCACACTTCTTTAATACTGCAGTTGTAGATAACAAGCTACATATTATATAGAACTTGTAGAACAAGGAAGTTAACAACAACTAGCCCGCTCCCAGAAAACCAGAAGTAAGCGTAAACACAGGAAGCAGCTATGTATTATGTTACACTACACCCACGAGGCGTTTTACAGCAAACTGTTTACCGTATAAGGAAGGTTTTGCGTGTACTATATACGCGGAAGTTAAATTACGCGTACCCGGAAATCGCAGCGACCACGAGAGTTACTGTAGTTGGGTCTGTCTGTCTGTCTGCCTGTTACTCTCAATCTCACTTCTCGGGTGTTTGTTCGTCTCACAAAGGATACGACCTACTTAACGGGCAATAAAGGTCAGAAATTTCGAACGCTTTTCTCTGAAACTGCTCCGTTGCAAAGCTAGAGTGCGAAAAAGCCAATACACAACGGCTTACCAGTTACCACAGTCGGATCGATCCGCGTGCTCTGCGTACTTCGGAGGCACCAGAAGAAACGCAGGGCGTGTATCGCCTCTCGCATATCATACTATCTAGTAGTGTAGTTAGCCCGCGTCAGACTCTGCGCGAGCTGGCAAGAGACCACGAGTAACAGCAAAAACTAAACCCAGCCCATCAATTAGTGGTACGGCGCATGCGTTTACATACGCCTGCGCGTCACAGTGCGTCGACACTTCAGTGCTTTTCATTTGGTGTGTGTGTCTGTGTGTCTGTCTGTTACTCTTCATATCACTTCTGGAGTGTTCTTTCGTCTCACAAACAGGGCAGAAATTTCGAACGGTTTTCTCTCCGTTGCAAGCTAGAGCGCGAAAAAGCCAATATGCAAATACAACAACGGCTTACTACGGCATGATCGATCCGCGTGCTCTGCGTACCTCGGAGGCACCAGAAGATGCAACGCAGGGCGTGTATCGCCTCTCGCATGCTGTCTAGTAGTGTAGTTAGCCCGCGTCAGACTCTGCGCGAGTTGGCAAGAGACGACCACGAGTAACAGCTAAAACTAAACCCAGCCCATCGATTAGTGGTACTGCACATGCGTTTACTTACGCGTGCGCGTCACTGTGCGCCGAGGGTTTGCATTTCAGTGCTTTTCATTGGGTCTGTGTGTGTGTCTGTCTGCTACTCGTCATCTCACTTCTCGAGTGTTCGTTCGTCTCACAAAGGATACCACCTACTGAACGGGCAATGAAGGTCAGAAATTTCGAACGATTTTCCGTTGCAAAGCTAGAGCGCTTCCACCATTGTACGGCTAATGTGTAGTCGGCCATTTTTATCGCTGCGGAAAATGCGCATTGCATTATATTCGACCACGTGGTGGAAAGCGGTCATTTTGTTTGTCGTTCGGTGAGAAGACGTTCTCCAGTTCCGTGAGAGTTGCTATTTTACTATCATGACTCCAAGTAAGGTATGCCCACTGAAAGTGTGTAAATCTTGCCAACATGTCTTTCAAGAGAAAAGCAGAGCATAATTTGCCAGACAAAGCCATGAAACGCATGCCAGCCTTACTGTCAAATCAGCTATGAGGGCTAAAGATAAGTTGCAGAAGGCCAGTAAAAGAGCGTCTGAAACTACCGAGCAAACTGTGCATAGACAAGAAAAAGACAAGCAACAAAGCAAGCATGAGAGCAACTGAAACTAGCAAGCAAACTGTGCATAGACAACAGCATAATATAGAAAGCACATGGCAAGCATGAGAGCAACTGAAACTAACGAGTAAACTGTGCATATACGAGAAAAAGCAAGAATGAGAGCATGTCATTTCATTCTGATATCAGACACATCAATTAGTGGTATGGCGCATGCGTTTACTTACACGTGCGCGTCACAGTGTGCCGAGGGTTTGCACTTCAGTGCCTTTCATTCTGTCTGTCAGTGTGTCGACGCTTATTCTGGCTCTGCAGGCTACGAGGCGGCCTATAAGCGGCTTCAGAACAACGTGAGCCTGAAAACTAAAAGGGTGAATTTCCTGAAACGACTGCGTTCGAGAGATATGCCGTGAAAACAAGCGAAATATGCATAATAGCACTGGGCTTACCGCGACCTGATCCGCTCGCTCTGTGTACCTTGGGGGCTCAGGAAGTCACAACGAATGGCATGTATCGACTCCCGCATGCTATCTACTACTTAAGCTTCCCCGTGTCAGACTCTCCGCTGGCTACTAGCGCGAGACCGCAAGTACAAATAGCCCAGCCCATCAATTAGCAGTATCGCGCATGCGCAGTTCGCCGAGGGTTTGCACTTTAGTGCTTTTCATTGTTTCAGTTCCTATTCTTCTTACTACCGCAATGTGTGGCTGGTACACAAATTAACGCCTGCGTTATCTAGTCGGTGGATATCTCTAACGAAAACTACTACCCATCCTTTGAACCACGATGCTAGCTACATGGACACTTGAATGCTTCATAATATAATGCAACTAAAGTCATTCACTACAGAGTTGGTACAAAAGTCACTGTAAACTGTCGAGGACGACTCTGTTTCCAGCAGCGGAAGTGGTCAGATAGCTGAGGGTAGCCAGAGTCCCTCTGTAAGAGACCACTCAACCTCACAACGAACTTTGGGCGAACGCGAGGTTCCAGCGACAGACACAACATCATAATCTCGTATCTGAGTAGTTGGGGCTAGCTATTGAGTTAGCTGTGCTAAGAATGAGAACACAGACGAACCAAACAATGTATCCATTACAGCTCAAACATGCATACACATTACACACTCTCATAAACAATCATGCAATCATCAACTGGTCACAAGGCAAAGCAAACAACTCAACTAAACTCTTTATTAATGGAAAAAATAGCTACCCTGGCTATAGGTGGGATTCAAAAACCCACAACACAGGCAGAGCACTCAGCTACCAGGAAGAACACATACACATACACATGAGTGGGGCACACAGGATACATTACATGACAACTCTCCCCACACAATCCTGTGACACAATATTCCTAGTATTAAAACATGAACAGAAGTACACACGGACATTTTAACTTCCTCTTGGGCATGAAGCTATACACACCAGATTCTCTGAGCCAACTTCCTAAAGTGGCTCTGGAATGTCCCTCACATTTCAACACTGCAGGCCTCATTGTTAGGTCTCTCCAGTCTCTGTCCTCTCTGCAGTTCCTTCAGGAGACCCATGGCTGGAATACCAGTGAATGGGATCCTCCCACAAGTGAAGATCTCCCACACCGTCACTCCAAATGACCACTGGAGATAAGTCACCACGACTCAGGACAGTTATAGTGATTTTCGTTCATATCTATAGGCCAGTTATTTGCATATAATTTTGCAGATCTAGCATGAATATTTTCTTATGTTAAAATCTTAAGCTCACGAAGTGCCAAATATTTACAGTATATACAGGCCCGTAATGTACACACAAATCAAAACCCAAATGGTTCTGCATACACAGTCACATATTATTATAAGTCTTAATAAAGCACATCAGTTGACTCAGTGTAGATGTCGTTTTCAATGCCCATCCACCTGATGGGTGCCTTCTCCTCATCCTCACTCTCTCCTTTCTCCTTATTGCAGCTGGAACCATACACAATGTCCTCAGTCAATCTAAAGTAATCGGTCACTTTGACCAATCCATATGAATCAATCCAGCACACCAATATAATTATATATAACACAGTGATCTGTTTATGGAGGTTCGACATACAGTTTTCTCTCACATGCAGTTCCTAGCTGCAAGGTTACGAGGGACAAACTTGTGTGCCGCGAGGTACTCCATACCATGCAGGGGTGACTTGACGACATGTATTCAGCAGTTTGCTCCTAGCCGATGAAACCTGGAAGAAGACTCAGTTCATCGAGTTGTACACAAAGTTAATGGCACGAAAAACACTACTGGCATACAGAGTAAATACAGCAGCACGTGAAAAGGTTCAAGGGAGAAGAAAATTAGCAGCATGTAAAAATAGGCAGGAACAAATTTTGTAAAGCAGCACTTGTATATTTAACCCTCGGCGCGCATGCACAGCGAGGGTTACGGTAGTCATTCTGTCTGTCTGTCTGCTCGACGCTTTTTCTGGCACTACAGGCTACGAGGTGGGCCATTAGCGATACGAGCGGCTTCAGAACTACACGAGCCTGGAAAATAAAACAGCAATTTTCCTGAAACGAGAGCGACAAACTGGCACGGTCGCTGACTGCATTGCGTGGCCCAACCCATCAATAAGCGCGTATAATTATTGGACGCGGTATGCTGGCTCACTCCTGGAGGCACAAGAAGCTACAGCGAAGGGCGTGTATCGACTCCCGCATGCTATCTACTACCGTAGCTAGCCCGTGTTAGACTCTCCGCGAGAGACCGCGGGTAAACGGTAATAGCCCAGCCCATCATTAGCGTGCGCACTCCAGTAACCCTCTTTGCGTAGTTCTCACTATATACCAGCACCTGTACAGAGAAGTACATTATCCAGAGCCTTGTGCAGCATGTAATTCTCAGCCTCGGTATGGAGATGGTTAAACACGCAGATGTCCAGACCCAGTAAAAATTGCCGAATTCTTATAGACTACATTAGTGAGCTTATGGCCACAAGTAAAATATGCAAACCTTGCTACCTTTTCCATCGACAAGTACTGCAACAAATGAAAAGTAGTAATTGCACATCAACAACTGACACACTGGAGTCTGTTGCATCATACCTAGAAGCCAAAATAAAGCTGTTTGATACCCATTCTGTACATGATAAATCATTGTTAGAGTGGAACGTACGTACAGCCTGCGCATAGTGTAAAGTACGCATTTATAACCTTGGGACATTATATTTTTACAACCTATACCTCCACTTTTTATAGCTTGTAGCTAATATGCTACTACAACTATAACTGACCAAAATCTGTGTCCGTTGTCAGTAGAGTTCGAGAGACAGCCGTACACACACACTTCCGTCTTCTGCTATATCGGCCCTGGTGAATGTGCAGGCCGCTTTCTCAGAAATCCACCGATGCATGGGGCTGAGACTCTCTCACCATAAGGTCACATCACTCCTACTGCCTCCAAGAGTCGCTGCTATTATTATTATTATTATTATTGTTATACACACCAAATACAGGTGCAGAATGGAAGGGATGTAGATGACAGGTGAACCAGTGGCCTTCTGGACTATATCCCGTCGCCAACCGGGGGCTTAAGGGCTCCTGGACCGACCACTGGACCACCCATAGAGAGAAGAGTGACATAATAGCAGTAGACTTCACTGACATGATAGAATTTCAATAACTGATTCAATAGGTGTGTATAACCCATGATATGAACGAATGAGCCTTATGGTGCAGGCAGTGTCAAAATCTTCATCACTAAATACTCTAACATGTTGATGACCATACAAAACATTGTAACCGGCAAAAGAATAAACATAATGAGATGATTCATGAAATATATTCCTAATCAGAGAAGAAGAGGAGGAAAGAGCTCTTGAAAAAAAAGATTGAAAGCGATGATATAGCAGATTAGCTATACCGTCCGTGGTCCACAAGAACTAACGCGCTAGTTCGTCGAAAGTCCCCCAACACAACTTGGCACAAACACGGCCATTTTCCTTGACCGGAAGTTCCGCTAATGCAAATAAAATTGGGGCGTGTGGTAGGGCTAGGGCATTGGGTTGAAACAGGCAAAGTCAAAATGCTAAACAGTCCCTACGTATTATAGGGTCTGTTTAGCTTTTTGCGCGCATGCGTCGAGGCGCTCGTGGTGAACGCCCACGCACAATAATTATTCCGCGCATGCTCACGCCGAGGAAACTGTGAGCGCGCAAAAACTTTGCGGTATCGTTGGAAAATATTGTAACACATCTTGTAACACAGCCTTAAACTATAGTAGCTACCGCCTTTGTTTCTCCTTCCATTTTTTTCCCAACAGAAAGCATTCCAACTCTGCATGCTATTATAACATTGTACTGTTGTTGTGCGTAGCTAATAGTCCCACAATTTTACTTCACCACACTCACTCCCTTATATTAGCAAACAGGTGTTTAATGTCTGTGGAAAGCTAGCATCTATGGTAAACTCCGACTATTTTTCCATCAGTAGGAGCGATGTGGACCACGTCTATGGTCCAGCAACGTCCAGTCAGGCAACAGATGAGACAGCAGGTGAGCCACGTCATTGGTCCCAGCCCTGTACATACCTCAGCACAGTCTGGACCTGTGTGAGTTATGTGAGAGATGAAATAATTCTCTCCTCCTACTGTTCCATGGTTTTGTCTGTGTCTTAGAAACGCACGGCACTCTGAATGGTTTTTTAAAGATGACCTTTGACTAAAATTTATATAGTATTACGTGTCAAAATTGTAATGCACTGCTGGCCATTGCTATCAACCACCACCACTGGCTGGTCCCTGAAGACTGGTGTTGGTAGAACAGTAGGGGCTGGTTGGGTCACCACAACAAGTGCTGGTCTAAGTAGACACACATGACATGAATTATGGCAGAATGAAAATTACACTGGAAACTCCGATGAGGGATCCTCTAAGATAGAGACGACCATTCTATAAAGGACACTTGTGTCAACCCCACGCTAATACTTCAGTGCATCGTTTAACCTCAGAGATGGGGATGACCTCTCTTTAAAGGGAAAAATCTCCTATATTGTTCCCTTTCTGAGGTTCCACCGATCTAATTATTAAGTGTGAGCGCATCAAGTAATAATAGGGGCTATGACACACAGGGACAAGTTTGAGTCTGAACATAGTAGAAATGGAGATGAAGCAGCAGATCAGTCCTAAAAACTAGAGAGAACATACAGTAATGAGTAATGAAAAGGTGTAACAAAATTCTTACAGATCAGTCTTTGTCTCAATCAGAGAACAACCAAAGACTCTTCAGTTGTTATGGCGATTGTAGGCAAGCGTTCCTTGAGATTTCGGCAGCGAGCAACAGGAGATAGCGCTCCGAAGGAGACTGGGAATCACAGCTGCAATTAGCTGTAGTGCATTCATTTTCATGTCAGTTTATAGAGTATTCTTCACAGGTTGCTGGTGCATGCGGCCTAATTAATGGTAAAGGGTTATTTTGGTATGTTGCAAATCCAGAGCATATAAAACAACGCCATGCATTAACGTGAATCTATCTACGCAGCTGCTCGCTGCCGTTTCGCCTGGTACGGGAATGTATGCCTGCCGTATACAGGGTTTTAGCGCGTCCGCTCGGGCGAACGCGAAGCGCATTTCATTCTCTCCGTCTTATTCTATTCACCGAGAGCGACCCCTTTCCCATGGTCCAACAGCGATCGTCTTCTATATGTGGGTCAAGGTGCAAGAGGTATAAACACCGCCACTGGAGCTCTGCGGACACCCCGCTGTGTTAACGCAGCGTCGCTGTGTTGCCTGGACTCGGAAGTGCAGTCGTAACACCAGAAACTTTTACACCCTGGTGTCTTGCTAACACCCCGTTTTTACAGTGCAGTAGATACCGTAATGTATAGTTACGTGATTCTAAATACACGCAAAATATGCTTGCTTCTCTAGCTAAAAATGTGTTGCATTCGCATCAAACTCTGAGCTCTTCATCTACGTTTAGTCTTAGCTATGTAAGCTAGCTATACACCCCACAGTGCAGAGGAGCACCATGGCTATGTAGCTACAAGAAGCTGTAGACCCATATTAGAGAATCAACGGTGCTGGTGGCTACAACAATACTTACACAAGCAAGCGATGTCAGTTCGATGTATGTAGCCATCATCCATGGTACTATTGTGTCACATTCACCAGGTCATCTCTGTTTCCTGCGTTTTATATATACCATCCCTAAAATTATTCACCATTTTTGATATATATATATATACCAGGCTATGAAGAAGACGAAGTCAACTTGATTTCATTGCCCTACAGGAGTCTCTTCAATCAAATAACAAGCATAAATTATTACCCTCAATAACTTAGTAAAAATGAAAAGCACAACTCTCGGCGAACTGCGCATGCGCGATACTGCTAATTGATTGGCTGGGCTATTTGTATGCGTTTACTACAGCTAGTAGTTCGCGGAGAGTTAGCTACAGTAGTAGATAGCATGCGGGAGTCGATATATACCTTTCGATGTGACTTCCTGAGCCCCAAAGGTACACAGAGCGAGCGGATCAGGTCGCGGTAAGCCCAGTGCGATTATGCAATTGCCCTTTTCACTTGTTTTCACGGCATATCTCTCGAACGCAGTTGTTTCAGGAAAATCGCCATTATAGTTTTCAGACTCGCGTAATTCTGAAGCCGCTGGTATCGCTAATACGCCGCCTGTATTGCCAGAATAAGCTTCGACACACTAGCACACACACAGACGACAAACCAACTACTCTAACCCTCGCTGCGCATGCGCGCCGCGGGTTAATAAAAGCCGTCTGCTCCGGTGAAGTAACGCAATAGCAGTATTACCTAATGCAGCCATGCGCCTCCAATACGAACCTTTTAAACAAAACCCAGCTTTTGGGCAATGGCTATGCAAAATCATGCTATTTCGTGCACACGACACAGGTAAGCTCCTTCCGTGGATCATAGGGTGGACACCGAATCCCGTTGCATACAGCTTCCACAAGGAAGAAGAGGGCGCCGTTAGAGTTCCTTGCTTCACCGTTTAGGAATTCCGGATTTCCGTCGAGGCATTTGGCGGATTGTCGGCCCCCGCTTCCGTACCCGGAAACAAGATATCCTTTGTACTCCCCTGTCCACGTCGCGGGGCACGACTGGCGAGCGGGGATCATGATTGAGCTGGCCCGTGAGGTAGCGTGACAGACGGCGCACGGGACGTTGTGGTCACGAGCTTCGTCTAGAGGCGAGCCGTCGAACGTCTCGTACTCCACCCCGTGCAGCGTAGAGTAGCGTTGCGCTCCAGACTGGAATTCTTCCTCGTACTCGGGTTCCTCGGGTAAACAAAGAATATCGCTAGTTCCCCCGGAGCTGCTCCAATGACTACCAACAGCTCTGCCAGCGTAAACAAGTTCGGTTCCTGCGGTCGAGGGACACGTCGAGTTTCCCCATCTGACGTAAGTTGCCCCGCCGCCGCCACCAACACCCGGTAGTCCAGACGGTCCCGGAGACCCAGCACGACCAGGTAGCCCGTCCGTGCCTCGCTCACCGCGTCGGCCGTCAGGGCCTGCAGATCCGTCCCTCCCTGGCATTCCCGGAGCCCCCTGTGGCCCTTCAATCCTGGAAACCCGGCTGGTCCTCGTGCACCGGATGCACCTGGCGCGCCCTGTGGGCCCTCAATAACGATGGATCCATTGGCAAGTTGAACTGGTTGTGCTCCGGGGGATCCAGGCGGTCCAGCAGGTCCAGCCGGGCCTTGAGGACCCCGTTCTCCTGGAAACCCTTCGAACCCCTGCTCTCCAGGTGACCCGTGGGCCCTGGTAGGCCAGATTCTCCAATCGCTCCTTTTTCCCCTCGAGGACCTGCTGGTCCGGGAGCTCCAGGAGGCCCAGGTGGGCCTTGTACACCGGGGAGACCGGGTGGCCCAGGAGGTCCCGGTGGTGCCTGCCGCTTTCGAACACGGTCTAAATTAGGAAAAGGTGTCAGACCCCTTCTACGTTTTGTAACGTTATATAGCCTAACCTTGCAGTGATGCAGCTTCCACTAGTAGTACAGTACTAGTAATAGCGAACGCAGCGACCAGTAGTAGCAATTTGACCATTTTCAAGCACACTTCTTTATTCTGCAGCTGTAGCTAACGGGCTATACGTACCGAGCATTGTTCTTTTGTTCCGCTGATAAAATACCTAGCTATCACTGGATCTTCCTAAACACACTATGATAAGCTTATGCATACAGATAGGGCAATGCAGAACTTCCTGGCTTTTGAATAATCAAAGTGCCTCAAAGTGCAAACCCTCGGCGCACTGCACATGCGCGATACCGCAATTGATGGTAGTATGCGTTTACTCGTGGTCTCCACACTAGTAGCTCACAGAGAGTCTGACATGGGATAGCTACAGTAGTAGATAGCGTGCGGGAGTCGATATACGCCCTTGGTTTTGACT